CAAAGTAAATTTTTCTGTTTGATTCCACTTTTCAAGATCAAGTTTTGATGCAAACAAGCATTTTATTTTTTGTGACGTTGCTTATCGAGGGATGTTAAGGGAAGAGGCTAGCTAACAAGGGATTGATTTTTACATAGAAAGTGTTCCATTGAAAACAGTCACACGATTTTCCAGTCACAATATCAAATGACTTTTTCAGTTTTAACTGGAAATCACGGTATAGTTCAAGATCCCACAGTAGCCAGACCTCATTTAAGAAAATCCCATATTTTGAAAACGAAAAGTCTATGATGAACATCTTACTATTTTCAGTAGAGCGTCGCAAATCCATTGTCCGGGAAGTATTATAGCTCGAGAAAACCAATAATGTTTCGTAGTTCATGTTACGCGCGTTTTTTACGATTACAAGATTGTTTTCGTTGTGATAAGTAACGTCATGAATTGAAGGTGACGACACTCCACTTTCATTTTTAAACAACATTGGTATACAGAGTGATTAGTATACGTAGAATTTACTTGAAATTCCCTCGTGGGATATCTGGAGAACTAGAAAATAGATTTCAGTTTTGCAAACGCTAAAGAATTGACAGAAATGCCTGTTAAACTACAAATACAAGTCAGTTGATTGATCAAGTGATTTGCCTTGGAGAAATTTAATAACTAATTACATTAATTACATTGTAGTCTAAGTCTGACGCAACTACGGTAAGCTACTGAATGAGAATAGAAGTAAAAAAATACACCATTATATCGTGAATTGAAATCATTTTCCACATTTTTAACAGGGAGCGTTGTGGTTAGTCTTTATCTCAAATTCTTATCTTAATGAAAATCTGTTATTAAAAACTCGACATTTTGTGCAGACGACCTTAACTTCTTCGTATACTGATCACCTTCAATTCATGACTTAACGGATTAACGACAGTCAGTGGAGACGACCTCAACTTCTTGAAAAAAATATAATTAAAATATCCTATGTTTATATACCACTTTGTATTTGTAACTAACGTTACTGCAGTTTAGTCCTACAAGGACGAATGTAATCAACTGAAATAATTAACAATGTTCACCCTTATACAGCGTGACTCACGGTCGATGGTAGGTTAGACGTTTCTGGAAAACTCAAAGCATGATTTTTCTGAAAATTTCACCTCTCACATTTCCGTACCTGTTCTATCGATCTAAACTTTATTTTTTTAAATGGAACACCCCGTATATTAATACGGTAATAGGTTTCTGCCACCGCAGTTGTCGGTTGATTGGTCAAACCACCAACACTGACATAAAAAACTTGGCAAGTTGACTTGGGTGTCACACCAATAGGTGGTTCCACTTATGTATCGCTTGCGTTTACGCAGCTATTTTTATCAAGTACTTTCTTGGTTTTTCTCATTTTGTCTTGACATAGAGGACCGCCTGCCCGGTACTGACGAT